TTTTAAAGTTCTGTATATGATCTTTTAGATTGTGTCTTTTTTATTTTTGTATCAATTACTGTCTGCCATGCAAAATACAATACTTTTTTTAGCTGTTCATTTTGTTGTGTACTTTGAGTCTCTGAGAGTGCAGAAAAGTTGAATTCAGTCTCTCCTGGTGCTGCGTAGATATCCTTATATTCTGTTTGGGTCATATTTTTCAACCAGCAAGTTTTCTCCATCTATGAAGTTTTCTGAACTGCTGCGTCAAATTATTTGCGATGGAATTGCCAAATGTTATATTAAATATTATATAAATTGGATTTAAAGAGACAGCCTCAAAACGAGTTGATCTGAGACGCCCCAGAAATGGGGTGAAAGAGGGGCTTGTGGAGTTACAATAAGGAGGAATTCAGAGCAAAACATTGCAGCTCCTTTTTATGTAGACCCCAACTGGATGATTTAAATGTGAAAAAGAAGGATTTAAAATCATGATATGTCCACTTTAAGCACCTAAGGTGACGGGTGATATGCATTCCTTCGAGAAGTTCTTGTCGTATAATTAAGTAATGCTTTTATTCTGCTGCTAATAGTTTGTGTTGGGTAGATTCATTCTTTGTTGCAACAATGTTTATTGGCAATAAATCGTATAGAGTTGGAGAACTTCTGGTTCCCCCATATGCTGCCAGTCAGGCGCCTGGTTGGCAGCATATGGGGGCTCCAGAAGCTTTCCAACAGTGTAAGACCCATGCACACCTGTGAGCATGGGTCCTGCTGCAGGTGTGTGCTGCAGTTATCAGCATGTCATGTTTGACTGATCTGGACACAGCTTGTGCGATACGACAACTTAAAGCAGTTCTACAAAACCAAGTTATGTCATTATTTGGAATCCGTGTATGGTTCGTTCTTTGTTTTTTTTTAGTTTGTTTGTTTGTTTCAAAATAAAATAGCGAAAACAGAACAAGAAAGTGATTTTTTGTTTTTCCATTTTTAAAACAAAATTAGAAAAACGGCAATTGCAAAAATAAAAAAAGGGGTATGTTTTTTTTAAACTGCAATGGTTAAACCAAAGACAAGCTTTTATTTTTTTATTAATTCAACGGGAACTTATGGCGGAACCGGAAATGAAGACRTGATCTCCCTGCGCAAACRCTTTTCAGTTAGCACTTCCAAATCAGCCGGTTCAAAAATAGATAAAGTTCGATAATAAATGCAGAAAATGGTTCAAGTGCAGCCATTGTTTATTATTTAAGACTGGTTTGTTTTTATGCCGTCTTTTATCCACTGTAAACTATCCTTCTTTGGTGACTTACTTCATTTCCGGTATTGCTACATATTAAAAGGACAACCGTATTTTATTTTTATTTAGATGGCTAAAGCAAAAATCAAACGCTGTTGATTTTTAATTCGATTTTACATTTTTACATTTAGGTTTTAAAAACAGAAACACACACACACACAAAAAACAACATCCTTGTGTTTTTGCAATTTTATTTTGAAACTAAAAAACCAAAGAACGAACCATACAAGGATTATTTGGACTGAGTTCTAGTCCCATCTCTAAACTGAAGGCCAAGTTCCATATATTGTAGGATGTCAGAGACCAGCAGACTTGCTTGAGTGACCAACACAGCTACTTGGAACAAATGGCTGAAGAATGGGATGTCGTCACACAGCAGTGTGTGACCAGGAGGAGGAGGTGCCAGGCTGTTGTGGCTGTGTATGGTTCTTCCACATGCTACWGRGGCTCCTGTTTGTTAAATGAATAAWTTGTTAATAAACGGCACAGAGAATTTGGCAAATTTTCCACGTGTGCAACCCACATACTCAGTTCTACTGCTCATCCCACGAAGGCCTGTTCCTTACAAATGTGGCATTATTTAAAAGGAAGATTAGTAGGCTTTACAACAATGTAAAATTTATTGCTAAGAAGCATTGTTACAACAAAGAAATCATCTACCAAACACAAATTCTCTTACTTTTTTGTGCTAAGTTTATATATTGAAAAAACTCAGGTTTATGTCATAATAGCAAGGTATTGTGTGTGTTTAAAGAATGAGGGATGACTTATATTAGATGATAATTAATGTAAAAGACATGCASTATTCACCTCATTACATTAAGACTAAATACAGCTACCTAATTAAAGTTAATAAGAAACTCAGCTTTGGGAAACACAACCCATCTTCTAATTATTCTCGAGCACGTTGGTCTTTTCACACTGAACTGAACAAATCCTGCTGATTCAAAAACATGAGACGCAAAAAGCTGCCTAATGTGTTAAGAGCAAACAAATGACTTGTAATGAAATCATGTTGGAGCGTAAMTTTAGTTGTTAATCCATGAATAGGAGCCTAAAAAGCTTTCATAAGATGAACCTAAATGATGAATCACCTCAAGGTAAATCTGTAAACATAGCATTAAAAGGTGTTTTTTTTCTTTACATGAACGCGATGAAAAATGTATAGAAGTGACACACCTACACTGAAGCATTCATTTACACAGAAAGACTTATTGATGTGGTTTTCACAGAATATGAACTCCTTTCAGTTCAGACTCGCACCTCTGTGCAATCAACTAATGAATCAAGGACATTTTTTTATTTGTTCTCTCAGCTGGACTCTCTTCGCTGCAGTCTCCACACACACACACACACACACACACACACACACACACAAACACACACA